GGATTACATTTTTTATTTTTCTCCGATATCCGATCCAGTAATTTAGGTCAGTATCGGACCGATACCGATACGTAATATCGGATCGGTCCATCTCTAATACAAATGCTGGCCATTCATTCTGGAAAATCTGGACATGACCCCAGATGCCAGCATGACTTTTCGTGCCACCTTCCTGGTGTGGTCAGACCTGTGGATGTGTCCAAAAGTGCCTTGGAGGAGTTTGGATATGGCTGGATGTTGACGCCGGAATTCGTCAAGCAGGCAGTCAGTCAAGTAATGGCTGGACACAGAGATGCCACACCAGGCATGTGGGTCTTCCTAAGACCTGAAATCCGGTGGCTTATTTTCCTTCCTCAGGAACTTCCCAATGGTCCTCTGTCCATGGGCTCCTGCCTCAGAATCCCAGACCGATTCTGTGGCATGGAGGTACGCCAGGGGAGCTCGCTCGTACTTGAGGTACATGAGTTGATTTATTTGGTTTGCCATGTCTGCTGAGATTTGCCAGTCCTCCTGAGCTCATTCATAACAGACTTGGAGATGGCCTTTTTGTATGTAAGAAAAGCAGGGAGAAGGTTTGTAAACCTTTTGGGCAGTTTCTCCAGCCATCGCGGATTGTCAGCAAACCAGTTCCAGCAACTCGTGGCCTGCCCACACCAGCAGAGACTTGTGAACGAAAGCAAACATGGAGACATGGCAAGATATAATTGTTTCTTAACCTGACCATGATAGCTGTCATGGCTGTGTGTAGGTAGGCAGGAATCAAGGACCCAAAATGCAGTACTCAAGGAGGTGGAAGAAACTCAATACACAGCTTTTTAGCTGGGATGAAGCAGAACAGAAAAACTAACTAAACTGGGAGTACCGAATAACTAGACAGGTTTGCAGGCTGGCGAAACAAAACAAAACACCAGGAGCACAAGTCCAGATATACAAAACAAAACTAGACTGGGCCAAACCATGAGTCCACGAAAAAGTTCGGGGGGTCAACCCGAAGGTAGACAGCACGGGGCCAAAACAGTTCAGTTCCGGAGGCCGACCGCACGGTCGGCAACGGCAGCGGCGTGGAAACAGTTCAGGGGGCCGACCGTGCGGACGGCAACGGCGGTGACGGGCAAACAGTTCTGGGGGCCGACCGTGCAGACGTCAACAGCGGCGACAGAGGCTGGACCAGGCGAAGCTGAAGCCGATGCAGAAGCTGCTGCAGGCGGCGTGGATGAAGCTGCTGCTGCAGGCGGTGTGGGTGATGCAGGAGGTGGAGCAGCTGGTGGCTGGACGGGCTCCTCGGGCCCCCCAGCTGACGAGGAAGGTTGCTGGACGGGCTCCTCGGGACCCCCAGCGAAAACAGTCACAGAACCAGCAGGCACGGGGGCCCCTGGCAGGGACAGAACAGAACCAGCAGGTGCACAGACCTCTGGCAGGATTAACTCTCCCAGGCTCTCAGCGGAGAATGATGGTTGAGAGGTCTCAGAGTTTTCAGGTAACATGAGATTTGCCAGCTTCCTGGTTTCCAGGGGTCCAGAGTCAGCTAAGGGTTGGAGCTCAGCCTCTGGGGAGGCCCTGGAGAGGGTAGCAGTCTTTATGAGTGCGTCTTCCTGTTTAACATGAGTGAGAAAAGGGGGCGGCTCAACAAGAGGCGGAGCTGCTAAAGACTGAGGTGGCAGTTGAAGTGAGAATGAAACTGGTGGTGGAGAAGATGGTTGAGCTACAGGTAATGAGGACACTGGAGGCTGAACTGATGATAAAGTTAATGATTCTTCTACCAACTGAGGTACTGCCTGGGCCATGGACTGTAACAAAGTTTGTAGTAAGTCTGGCTGTGGTAGTGACTGAGCTATGGGAAGTGAGGCTGAATGTGGTGGAGGTGGCGACTGGGCTTTAGGCTGGGCGGCTAACTGGGCTGAAGGTGGCTGAGTAGCTAACTGGGTTGCTGACTGAGCTGAGGGCTGGGGAACACAGTTCATTTTTAACAGAACCCTCAGGACCCTTCGTTTCAGTTAGTAGCTCACAATCATCTGATACAAAAGCAGTCTTTGGATCTTTGGAGTTATTGAGCACAGAGACACCCATCTTCCTGGTTTCATTGATAGGCTCAAAAGGAGCAGGAGTGACACAGTTTGTATGGCTCAATGAGTCGGGATAATTGTCCTTATAACAAGCAGTCCTTTCATCTCCAGTGCCGCTTACACAACAAGCCGGCCCGGAATTAACAGTTTTTATTTCAGCAGGAGCCAAAAGAGTAGCCCCACCACTCACCCTAGCCGGCTGTACAGAAAGAAATCCAGGCTCCCGCTGGAGCTGTGAACGCTGGCGGGGTGTCTGCCGCTTCCCTGTTGAAGAGGGAGCAGGGCAGGCTGAAGGTGATGTGAAAAAACCCGGCTGCTGCGGTGGCGTGGACAAACTCTGCTGCGGTGTGGAAATGTTGGATACACTGGGGGGAACAATGATAATCCCCAGCATCTTATAAAACGCCTGTGCTGGTGTGAGCCGGCTGCTCGCAGGTTCATAGTATTCCTCCCGGTGCTGGCTCGGGCGCTTTCCTCGAGTCCGGGTTGCAGGCGTCGACAGTGGGGAGGAAACGGAAGAGTGAGTAGAGGGGTTAGTGGCAAATGAAGGCGACCGGCTACACGGAGGACCCCCAAGAACCAGCCGGGTCCCATCAAAAGCCGAGCGGTGCCTCCTCACTGAGTCTGCTGGATCCATTTTGTGGTCACATTGTTCTGTCATGGCTGCGTGTAGGTAGGCAGGAAGAGAGGACCCAAAACTCAAAATACACAGCTTTATTGCTGGGATGAAGCAGAACGGAAAAACACTAACTAAACTGGGAGTACCGAATAACTAGACAGGTTGGCAGGCTGGCAAACAGAACACAGAGAGGGCGTGAGGGCAGAAGACATTAACAATGCTACGCTGAACACTGGAGGACACGCACTATAAATACTGACGCAGGAATAAGAGGGAACGAGGAACAGGTGGGAACACAGCCGGGAGAAATTACACTTAACGAGACACGGGGAGCAAAGCTAGACACACAGACATAAGACAGGAACATGAACCTCCAAAGTAAAGCAGGAAGCAAGACACACTTTACTAGGACACGGACTCGACAGAGTGAGGCAGACAAGACACTGAACTAAACCTGCAATAACAACCAAATACAACCCGAACATTGATCCTAATACAGAAACACAGATTCATAATACCGTACTTTCTGGACTATAAGCCACTACTTTTTCCCTAGGTTTTGAGCCATGAGGCTTATACAAAGGTGCGGCTATTCTGTGGATTTTTCTTCCACCACTAGGGGGACTCTAACCAGAATTAGAATAAAAAACATGATAGATGAAAAATCAATGCAAAGAAGAATACACTACTTTTTCTTTAGCAGATAGAACACGCACAACAAATTACCAACTGGTAATTATTTTCAAATCCTCGCCCCTTCATCATGGAAACCACACTAAGAAGTTCGTATGATGCAAGTTTTAAGTTGAAGGCCATCGATCTTGCTATCCAGGAGGGAAACCGCGCTGCTGCACGCAAGCTTAGCGTCAATGAGTCTATGGGGAGACGTTGGAGGCGGCAGCGGGAAGAGCTCATGCAATGCCAAAAGTCGAGAAAAGCTTTCAGAGGACATAAAAGCCAGTGGCCTGAACTTGAAAATGTCCTGGAGGAATGGGTGAACACACAGAGAGCAGGTGGCCGAGGTGTATCCACTGTACAGATCCGACTGAAAGCCAAAACAATCGCCCGCGAAATGAATATTAAAGATTTCAAAGGTGGGCCGTCATGGTGTTTCAGATTTATGAAACGTAAAAACCTGTCCATCAGGGCACAGACCACTCCCTGTCAGCAACTCCCCCCTGACTATCAGGAAAAAGTTGAAAACTTCCACAAATTCGTTGAAAAAAAGATACAAGAAAACTCCATCGGACCAGACGACATAATCAATATGGATGAAGTACCTTTAACGTTTGCTCTGCCTCTGACCAGGACCGTTAACAAGACAGGTGCATCATCCGTGTTGTTGAAAACAACAGGCCATGAGAGGACGCACTTCACCTGTGTTCTGGCATGCACGGCATCCGGACAAAAACTTCCACCAATGGTGATTTTTAAGCGCATAACTATGCCGAAAGAGCAACTCCCGAAAGGCATAGTGGTCAAAGTTAACACCAAAGGGTGGATGATAGAAGGTCTAATGAAGGAATGGTTAACGGAGTGCTATGGGAAGTGCCCGGGAGGATTTTTTCACCGGAAAAAAGCACTGCTTGTTTTGGATAGCATGAGGGCCCACATCACAGATTCTGTGAAAGCAGCGATCAAGAAAACAAACTCCATTCCAGCTGTGATTCCTGGAGGTACAACAAAGTTTTTGCAGCCACTTGACATCAGTGTAAATCGGGCATTTAAAGCTGCACTACAGGTTGAGTGGGAGACTTGGATGACAAGCGGTGAAAAGTCATTCACAAAAACTGGCCGCATGCGAAAAGCATCCTTTTCTGATGTCTGTCAGTGGATCCTAACAGCGTGGAGTGCTGTGAAAGAATCCACCATCACCAATGGGTTCCGAAAGGCTGGACTGCTGCGCGAAGAGAGCGGCGCACCTTCAGAGCCAACTTCACCGGAGGATGACAGTGACACGGAGAGCGAGACTGATGGAGGCAGATGTGATGAAGCTCTTCTGAGCCTGTTCAACTCTGACACTGAAGAAGACGACTTCATGGGTTTCAGCGAAGATGATTAAAGTGACTTGTGGTTTCAAATACAGGAAAAATGGAGGTAAATAAATAGCGGTTATTTTCTCTTGGTTCTGTTACGTTTTAATCAGTAAAGTTGCTGCCATGTTAAAAGGCATTGTTCGGAAAGAATCTGTTCAGGTACATACTTGTACATTTGGAGTACAAGATTGTTCTGTACATGCAGTAAATATCTATTTTTTCATCATAGATATCTGCGGCTTATAGCCGGGTGCGGCATGTATATCTTTTTTTTTTTAATTTTTTAAAAATAGAGCGGATGCGGCTTATATACAGGTGCGCTCTATTGTCCAGAAAGTACGGTAATAAAAATCAAAGCACCAGAGAAACATAAAGAACAATCCATCATTCAAAAATAAACCAAAACATAAGGAACTCAAAATGCTGGGTCGAACCGACCCAGAACCATGACACTATCAGGATTGGGTAGTCGCCAATATCACTAATTTTGCATTCCAAGTTTCCAAAAAAGGGGGGGTCGTCAATGTTAGGT